TTTTCTTTTTATATCGGAATATTTAGGAATCTACTAGCGGAGAGGAAATCTGAATTCGTCGGGCGTAGACATTTGCGATCCCTCGAAATAATTTTGACTAGTCGCCATAACATTTACTATTGCTGGTGAAACTGGCCTGAATCCTGTACGTGACGTATCATGTAAGCAACGCGTGGAGTTCTAGGGGTTGAAAGGGAGACCACAGGGATATGATATTACGAATATACGTTTGTAGTCAACGCGCACGTGATGCCATAAAGTGACGGAAATACCTGAGAATATCGTACACATATGCTATTAAACCAATTTATACCCCTCGTCATAGCTTTTTCCGCTCCATAAAAATAATCGAGAGTTGTTGGGAATTTGGGGAAATGAAAATTTTCCAAGAGTCATCGGAATCAAGTTGAAATGGTACATTTCATCGCGCACCGGATTATCCCAGAATGTCGTAAACTTTTCATTCCAATTGATGCGAATCCTGATGACAGTGGAATTGCAATGGAAATCTCAGATTCGAAAAGCCGAATCTCATAGGAAATTTATAAACAATACTTGGGTTGAGAAAAATTGTGATCGGAATGTTTTTTTCAAATTTTTGAAAAATTTCTGGGAAACTTTTCAAGGGTGAATTTTTCAAAAAATGAAAAAATTTAAAATTGCTCCAGGAGGGCTAACTCTTCCTTATTTCGGATCTGCGGTCGATCCGCAACTCAAATCTGTTCACTTTTCCCGGAAATTCCCATTATTGCGCGATTGGTGAATTTTTTTTGAAAATTTTGCAAGTGGAAATTTTTCAAAAAATGAAAAAATTAAAAAACACTCCACGAGGGCTAACTCTTTCTTATTTCGGATCTGCGGTCGATCCGCAACTCAGATCTGTTCACTTTTCCCGGGAATTCCCATTATTGCGCGATTGGTGAATTTTTTTTGAAAATTTTGCAAGTGGAAATTTTTCAAAAAATGAAAAAATCAAAAATCACTCCACGAGGGCTAACTCTTCTTTATTTTGGATCTGCGGTCGATCCGCAAGTCAAATCTGTTCATTTTTCCCGGGAATTCCCATTATTGCGCGATTGGTGAATTTTTGAAAAAATTTCTATGCGAATAGACGATTTTTCACGACAAATGAATTTTCAAAATAAAAGTTCACGGACTGTTGTATTTTCGTCATAGAATAATTGAATAAAAAAAAGTAATAAACAGTACGGGGATTAAAATAGGAAGTATCTTTCAAGAAATTTCCTAATCGGCTCTCCGGTTTCCACTGATGCCCTCCAACTTAAAGTTCATTCGAAACTTTCAAAGAATTGTTTGCGAAATCGTTGGAATTCAGACAATGAATAAAACCGAGACAAGTGCACGTTTGTATTTGTACACGTTGACCCAAGGACTGAACTCCAAACGATCGATACTAGTTTAGTTTAGTCACGAAGAGCCAGAGGTGGAGGGCCACCCTGGGATACGTGAAATGTGGTGAGAAAACTTTTTAGGCTGAAAGCCAAACTCACACCACACTATTCCCAACCCCCTTTATCTTCACCTTTTACGTATTATCCCAAAAAATTCACTCCAGTTAAAACTTTACCCTCTTTAAATCAAGTTCAGCATTTGTCGAGTACTTCCAACGCCTTTCCCATCAGATTTCTACGTTAGTGATTCATTTGGCTAGAGTTAAAGATGTTTAACCGATTTCAACAAATCTCCAACCCCTGGAGAACTCCTGAGACTTGAAGATCTTCACAGAATCTTCAAAGAATTACGTGAAAGGATTTTTTTTATCAAATCGGGTCATGAGATCTTCAAGAAATCATGGAATACCTGATTCACAAATTCTTGGGCATTTTTTTTT